TCGAGAATTACACGCGTGCCTCAGCCGAATAAAAAGGGTGGTAAAAAAATTCGACAACTGCAGCAGCGGTACGCGTTCTTTCGGCCACGTATTTTTTCTTGAGCAAAAAAATAAATGAATAAATCACGCACACATATTATACGCGTATGTGTGCCGCCACTATACACTCCGACTCTCTTTCGTCTTGAGTTTACATATATACATCCTGACGAACGCATGCATGCATACACGTCGATATTTCGTTAGGATAACATAATCCTCGAGATTTTGGGCTCCTCGTATATGCGTATAATACGTACGATGTGGCCTCGAGTGGCTTCGTTTGAGCATTTGCGAAAAAAGCGCGTGTACCGCGCGTACGTATATAAATCTAGAAAAGCTCACATACGTACGCGCGAGCACACACACTCACGTAAGAAATATACTACATATTATATTCGGGGGCGGCTGCTCTCACCATACTATACATACCGCCTCCCTCACTTTCTACGGTAATTGGATCTCTTGATCGCCCCTACCCGCCGCGTGTATGCACACATTGTAGTGTACCTGAGTATGTGTGTACATGTGCTTGTGGCATGAAAAAAGAGTTTTGCCCTCCTCTCGAATGCCGAGATTACACACTGGTTAGGCCAGCGAGTGCTATTCAATGCATATTTTCCCAACACATCATTGGTTCCACGCACAGCTACGACGTCTTTTCTATGTTTGCATCGCTCATCTTTTAAAATCCATCTTGGTTTGAGCTACTGCATGCTGCACTCGAGTAGCTCCTAATCGCGAATGTGGAATTATATTTAAAAATTCGCGAGTTCCTGCTCATAATGCCACATCAAGACTTGAGTAGAATTTATTTTAATAAATTAAAGAAAAGAAAATTTTTGCAACTGAAGAGTTAAAAAAATTGACTTTAAAATGAATGAACTTGTAAACTATGACATAACGTTTATTCATAAGTACAAAAAAAAAATTAACTGATTGTTGATTTTGTCTTTTACTAAATCATTTGTAGTTTTTTCGCCCTGAATAAATTTGTACTTGTTTGGAGCAAATCATAATTATTATTATAGCTTTTATATAACTACATGTAGGATTGTGTATGATTACATTCAATAGGAGGTTTTTTCGTTATGTTTAAAGTTCATATAAATTGGTGTCTTGTTACATTAAAATACTTTTTATTGTAAATAAGCAGCTTGAAACAATTAATAATTCTATTTATTTATCATTTGTCAATTCTTATTATCATACCAATTATAACACCAATTTTTCTCTCACAAAAATTAAGTTATACAGAAGTAAGTAAATTCTTAAAAACAATTAAAAAAAAACTTTTTTTTATAATTAGCTAGGTAGATACTCCACTTAATTTATTTGATTGAATAAAAAATTAAATAGTTTAACTTCCTATCCTTTACCTAAATGGCGTATTTTGCACGCATAAGTGGTAATATTAGTTCAGTTTACTACATAGAAGAAACATTTATGTTGTTTGGTGAATTTTCTATAATCTGTTACGTGTCTGTGTGATATATATTCTATCAAAATACTAATTCAAATTATAATTATTTAAATATTTTTTGTTTATTCTTTAGTCGTTCATCACATTTCATAATGACACTGTAATTCTTATATTATTATTATATTTAGTAAATATTTTGTTTGTGATCTTGAACGTCCAAACGAAAATTTATTTTCTTGGTTAAGTATTACATCAAAAGTATAATTCGATGCCTCCTAGCAACAAGATGCCAGTTCACAGAGCAGAGCAGCATTATGCCAGTTCAGAATCTATTCGGCAAGATGCTACTTCGGCGCGCCGTTCGGCAAGATGCTGCTTCAGCGCTGCGTTCAGCAAGATGCTAGTTCGTGGCCGCGTTCTGCATGATGCTACTTCAAGGCCCATATAATAAAAATAATAAAAATCAAAACTAGACTGCAGATTACACTTTGCAAAATAATTTTCAAAGAGTTAAATTCGCACCTCCATAGAGTTATGGAATTTTAAATTGTCTTCGCAAAATGTAATCTATAGCCGAGCTTTGATTTTTATTATTTTTATTATATGGGCCTTGAAGTAGCATCATGCAGAACGCGGCCACGAACTAGCATCTTGCTGAACGCAGCGCTGAAGCAGCATCTTGCCGAACGGCGCGCCGAAGTAGCATCTTGCCGAACGGCGCGCCGAAGTAGCATCTTGCCGAATAGATTCTGAACTGGCATGATGCTGCTCTGCTCTGTGAACTGGCATTTTGCTGCTAGAAGGCATCGAATTGTGGATCGTAATAAATGTCGATGTTTACGATTTGGTGAACACATCTGCGTAGTTTACAAGCCGCACGGTAGTATTTTGAATTTATCTCTATCTGTATCTTTCCCTTTCCCGAAAAAATAAATCTATGGCGCGATTGTTGAATAGTATACAATCAATGTGTGTATTTTCCTCACCTCGCCTCAATCAATGATCTTTTCAAATTTCATTATATGCACATATTCTATTTCTATCAAACGTCTACTGGTAGCGCGGTCCTGAAAAATCCTACCATTCCGCACGTATGTGTATCGATGGATCAATCAAAATTAATTAAGAAGTATTCATCCCTGATGATCCATGGTTTAAATAAAAAAAGAGCGAGCGAGATGAAAAAACTCGTGCAACCTCTGCACATAATGCCAAATTAGGGATCCATTTTTATTCGCGCAATCAATCGGCGCTGCTGCCGCTGTTGCTACTCGCGCGCGTGACTAGTCGTAGTAGTAGAAGTAGTACTTGCACACGTGGAGTTCGATTGAAGCGCGCCAGAAATAAATTTCTATTTACCCTCACTTCCTCCTCTATCCCCTTTGCGCAGCATTGCGTATACGCCGCTATCGTTAGAGGATAGGCATGTATACGTGCTTCTCTTGCGAATGTGTGTATATGTGCAGCTCCGCGCGGCTCTTGTACGTAGTTATATATGTAAAGGTCGTCGTCATTTAGGAGGTATTGTCAAAGGTCGACTACCCTGACGCACGAGAATGCGGAATTATATACAACGCTCGCGTGTACATCTGCGTGTGTCGCGCATTTGTGTATGTGTTCGTTGTGCCTCCAGTAACGATGCATCGTGGTACGCATGGTTTTTTTTTCGTGACATTTGCTTAGCAATCTGCGTAGCCAAATTTGCACAACGAATAAATATGAACTCGTCATCAACCTTAGCTGATTCGAACATAAAATTTTCAATTAAATTCAACTGGATGGTCAATCAATTCTTGTTGCTGCACAAAGTTATATCTGCTTGAAGGCATCTTTCTCTCTCTTTCTCTCCTCTTCACCCTCTCTTTTTCTCTCGACCCGCAATGAGAAATGATGGCAAAAAATCAAGATAACTCGCGAGAGCCGATGACGCTTTGGCAATTATTATATAGTTGTTGCGGAGCTACATGGTATAATATGTGCAGGTCTCCGGCTCGCGAGATATACCTGGAATGCCAAATGAGAAATCAGCGCGCGATGCAAGTCCCTCCCGCTGTAGTCGTCGCTCTTTCTCTCTTTCTCTCTTCCCCGCACTGACGCTTTGGACAGATTAAAAGCAATCTTATTATTATGAAGACGCGCGCGAGGTCACGTGATCAATCACAGAGAGAGAAAGAAAAACATACACGAACACATCTTGCTAGTGTGTGTGTGTGAGTGTGCGTAACATATTTCATGCATTATTGCGAGCAGCTTATAGGAGATGAGGACTATTGCACACAACTATGCGTGTTTGGATATGTATAGAATCTATTTCAACTCCAGGATAAGACGAGTGTGTTTGTAGATATATCAAGGCCCACCCGTTGTGGTTTCGGAATGTAGAGGCGGGGGAGGGGGTTATATGATCGCAAGTTCCACCTCACTATTACTCCCAACAGATATTACCTTCGAACGGAACATGCTTTTTACTCTCTATCTCTCTCTCTCTCTCTCTCTCTCTTTTTCAATCTTTGGCCTGCGAGCGTTGCCTTTGTTTTTCGCAAATTGATCCCGTTGCAAATATCGATCGATGCATGTCGGCGCGAGAAAATAGCATTATCATTCATTAATTGCATTTAATCGACTGCGTTTCGCCAAAGGCCCCACAGCTTATAAACGGCGAAATTGGTTATCCGGTTTCGATTAATATTTCATTACAGGCACGCATGTGTGGAACGCGCTTTCGTGCGAAATTTCACTTTATTTCGGTCGAGGTTTGTGTTCGTGATTTCGTAATAATACAAGCTATCCTTTCGCGTATTTTCAAGCCGGACCCTTTCAAAAGGATCAGAACTCAGGATATCACGCTGAAACGATCTACAATGGCAAATTGAATATGTCTACATGTTTGGATCTAGACGCGTAGAAATAATTAGGTGTATAAGTGAATGTTGACGAAGCAAATGTTATATCACTAATTTGTTAACTCATCTCAAGAACAATTAGAACTGGATATACACTAGCCAAAAGTGTAATGGTATTTTTAACATTTTATAGTTTATAATTTTCCACGTTTTAGTGACCATTTTTTGAGTACATCAAATTCGTGCAAATTACCATTTGAACATTTTTCACTAGTTTTTTCTTTAAGTATCTTAATTTAAAAAGTAAAATTGCGAGTAGTCATTAATATCTGTGTTTTGAATTACAAACATTTTTATACAATTATTTTGACTTGGCCACTTGCAGAATCATAGGTCAACTCACTCGCCATCTACTGGTGATGGATTAAAGTGTCATTTTCGAATATGAACTTATTAAAGACTAGTCTAAGTTTTTGTAATCTGTTTAATTATCATTTTTAGGTCATTTCAAATGCCCTTAGAATCTGTAACAGAAAAATGGTAAAAAACAAGCCAAAGCCTTTGTATTCTAAAACATTTTAAATAGCTATTTTTTGGTCATTATTTTTAGTAGGGATATTAGTTTGTGTGAATATTTATGATACACGTTGCCGGCAAAATCGATGCGGCAGTCCAGTTCATCATCAGGGTCACAAATGACACAGACGCATAGTATGCGGTGTACATTGTACGCGTATCGCGATTCACATCTCTGTATACCTTGTGTACTTATAAGTTTGTGCGAGTAATGATCATTTATTTTGTTTCGACAGAAAGTGCAGCTGTATACCTCTGTCGAACATGCGAGATTTCGCAGTGGTCATCTCTGAATATCTGCGAGTTCATCTACGATGCAACTTCAACAACTCCGAAGATCATTGTGATGTTTCCTGCACACTTGGTAAGTTGAAGATTCTTTCATTTTATTGATAATTTAAATTCATATAAATAAAAAAGCGACGAAACGTTCGCCTTTAAATTCCCAGTAAATATCAAACCCAGGAAAATTTGTCGCAATTCACTTTTTGCTGTGATATCCCTGGCGAGTCTTCAGAAAAACTTACGATTCAGTCAGATTCAAGGCAGCGCCGCTATCGAACCAATGATTTACCATGCGAATCTCCACAAGAGCATTTTATTATTCGATCGACTTTTTCCAGTTCTTTTGAAGCTCTTGCGCGAGAGCGGGCTCTCTTTCTTTGTTTGCAAAACACAGACATACATGAACGTTTTTATTTATTGTTGCGCTTCGGAAGCTGATACTTTTGCACCGATATCTCTTGATCGCTTTTGCTCGCTCTTTCTTTTTCTCTCCTGCCGCAGGAGCAGCATAAATAATACGCGAGAAAAGGCGCACTCACGTATGTGAATATGTGTGTGTGTCTGTGGGTCCGTTCGTGTGTGAGTGCGCGCAGCGTAAAAAGATAAAGGAAACAATGATACACTCTCTCTCTCTCTCTCGAAAATACACATGCACGGCCACATGCGCGCGCGGGCACGTGTATGTTAAGGGAATAATTTTTATAGCCAATATCGCTGGTGTGGTTATATTTACGATGGCATCACGCCGACGACGACACGCATGAATTTTTATAGGTCCCCGGGAAAAAAATCGCCGGGCGGCGGCCCGCTGTGCCGACGAAGACGACAACAAGACCACGACGCTCGAACGATGATTTAATATTTGGAGAAAATGCACACACGTATACGTGATTTGATAGTTGTTTGTGTGCGCCTAACCACCCAGCAGGAAGCCCTTGTGCGAGATCGAACAAAGTTTATAAATGTCCGCTCTGGAAATCTGCCAGCTTTATATAACGTCGAATTTGATTATTTCTACTTTTTTCATCTTTTTCTCTCTTTTTTTACAATTTTTTTCTATTATTTTATTTTTCGCGCTTTGCCTGCGACTATATGTATATTCGTAGGTGTTCAAGCAAGAGAAAAAACCACGTATACGTCGTGCTGTGATGAATGACACATGCAAATTTGTGCATGTGTGTGTGTGTCTGTGTGTCTGTGTGTGCCAGTGCTGCACTACTCCGTTATTGGCCGATTGTGAAAATTGTTCAAATCATGATTAGACTCTCTATCTCTCTCTGGCGTTGGCCTGTCCATCTCATTGATTGAACGCGTGATTTGAATTTTCGATGTGATTTGGCAAAATGATTTGCAGGATCTTATGCGCAACGCGATCGTGTCCTCGGCAGAAATTGCTTATACTCACAGGATAATTAAGTCCATATTGACGAGAGCAGTTCCTCGGGTGGCATGATTTAATCTTAGGTCCCACAATTACTTGCGTCTCACATATAAATTTGAACGAATGAAGTTATACATTATCACGAAGAGCGATTCTTGGGAATCAGTTTATATTGCATTTTGGGCTCGAGCACAAACTCGCACAAGGCCATAAGCTATCTCAGGTTATAATATAAGCTTTCGGAGAGGAACTCGTACGTGTGTATAATATAAGGAGGGCTCTGCGCGACGTGTCTAGCGACAAAGGACACTCTAAAGAGCGATCTTACGCTCTCGCGTCGTACTCTCGCTTTCTCTTCATTCTTTTAGCTCCTCATCCTCTTTTCTCTCTTTCTTTCTCTCCCTCTTTCCTTTTTACCCATTTTTTTTCTTTATTATTTTGTTTTGTCTTTTTTGCATTTTATTGTTGTTTTTTTGCTAACTTCGTCTGCGTGTGATGATACTGTACGACGATGCACTCGCATCCTAAGGTCCTCAATTTAGCTATGCGCGTGGTTAAAAAAAAGCAGTCATAAGATGCCTGCCTGCTCCTCGTTTATAATGCAAACGAAAGAAACAAAAAGTTCTTTGTGGTACAGTATCATTCGTTCTCAAAATACTTTTTTATCATTAATAAAATTATGCTCGAAGGTTGGTACATACATTTTGATGTGAAAAATACTTTTTTTTTTAATTTCATTATAATGAAGACAATGTTCTTTTCTTTCTTTTTTCTTTGATGAATCGAATCGCGGCTGAATATAGATCGACTGAGCCTCGCTACGTCCGGCATACGAAACCGCATGCATTTTTATGTATTCCAACATGCTCACGCACAAACATGCGTGTACGTCCTCTTAGACTTGTCCCTCGCCGCTTTGACCACAAAATCTTATTAATTTCTTGCAAATATCGCTGAATTCGTGTTACTTGTCGTGTTGCGCGAGCTATTTATTTGGATGATTGTGCCTTTTTTCATTTTTGCCGTATACACGCGTTGTACGGCCCAGCAGGATTTTAATTAACTCTCGCAGCAGAGCAGAGCCCGAGCTCGCAGCAGCTTTGTCTCGAGTAGATAGTAATGTGTCTCCGCGTGGCTCCGGATGCATTATAAATATTAATGCAATTATTAATAGCGAAATGCCGAGAAACGATCAAAGACAATCAAGGAATCCTGCGCAACGAGCGAGCGAGGGCAGAGACGAGAGACAGAGACGTGGATCTCTTGCAGTGTTGTAGGAGCCAGAGAGGGTTTTCGCGAAGCTGGAGAAAGGGAAGAGAGAGACTGAGCTTCGAGTGAGATTAATTATTAACGCCGGTAATTGAACTCCCTTCGATCTAAGATAGCCCCGCGCGCGCGTCGCGTCCTAGTCATCGTTGATTGCGGAGGAACAGACGACGAGTATTACTATATAGCCTATATACTATCGTTAATTTTCTTGGTTCCTCGCACGTATATGTACGCACACTTGCTCATACAAGCCTCGCACATACACACGCATACCCCCACACAGAGCTGCAGTACTCTACTCTGGGAACAATCAACTTTAATCAATTTGCATTGATTGCCCACCTATAGTATCTATAGATAGTTGTATATATAGGACAGGGACTCGCTGAGCGAGCCGCTCTGCGCAGCGATGTCCTTCGATTAATTTTCTCAACAAGCGACGATGTCAAGGCAAGTTTGACCGTATAGTAATGGCGGGGAAACGGCGGGGAAAGGAAAGCCGAGGAAAATCTTAATTGTCGATGAGATTCAAATTCCTCCCGCATGCGTCAAGGACAATTCAATTCGGACTACGTCGTGTGCTCGTGACTTTTATTTCACACGCTTGATGCGTGCGGCGCTGATGTCTGTCATTTTCTCTTAAATTCGTAATAAAGCAATTTTGACACTCTCGGAGCTGCGGAATAGAGAAGCGCGTGGCTGGCTGGCGCTGCCGGTGCAGCCACACGGGCAAGTTTGCTTCCTCATAACCTACCTTGCGCGCGGACATACTCGTGCTGTCGCTGCAGTGCACAGGCTAAAGTCAAACAACTTTCCAGTTGGCTTTGCTCAAACAAAACGTACACTCGCTAATTGCTTACGTCAGTCAAGACAGTGCACAGCTCAGGAGAGGAAAGGAGAGAGAGAGAGAAAGTCAATGGACCTCTCACCCTTAAATACACTAAACTCTCTTTTTGTTTCTCATAGCTTCTCTCTATACCTTGAGTCTGAGTCTCTTCCTCTCTTATAAGCTGCTAAAAGGTGCGATCCTTTTAACACCGAGGTCCATCAGTAGAAGTTAATTGGAAAAAGTAAGCCTGCATGAGGATTTGAGTGTGCTACGTATATCTACATCGACACACGTACATACACATAAATGAAGCTTCCGCTCGAACGAAATTGAGTCAAATTCGATCGAGATCGTCGCTCCGAGAAGGGGAAGAGAAAAAAATGGGAGTGTAAATATTTCATATATATATATATATATATATATATATCCAAGACAGAAAGAAAGACAGAGAGATGTGGACCGGATTATTTGTTGGGCGCGCGTTACCTTATTTTTTTTTTTTTTTTTTTTCATTTCTTCCACCGCATCCCTCGAATTAATACCCTGCATCTTTTAGCGNGTCTCCCCCTCTTCTCGTGATTTCTCTCGGTGATGTCCGCTGTCGACGCTTGCTCGGGCCCTGAGACGAACCAGGCGCGCACCTGTCCAGCTCGTTAAAAACTAAGCCGGGCGTAACGAGTGCGTGTGTGTTTATTATTCGAATAAAATAATGTGCTTCGACGCCCTTAATAAGTGTTTGCTCGAAAAATGTAACTGACACAAGAGAGATAGAGAGTGGGACGGAGAGAGAAATGCCCTTTGGGCTCTGCACGGGCATTATACAAGCGCGATCAGGCCTTCGAGCTTATATTGAAGATCGAATGCCGGAGCTGATTACGTTTGTAATGCACTTTGACGACTCTTTTATATCCTGCAATTCAGTCGTGAATGCTCGGTTTATTTTTTTAATTTAATGATCTACGCACCATTGGGAAAATAAATCATTTCCGCGCGCTAATGATTGGTGATATTACTAACTAAAGATACCAAAGTTTAGGGTGCTACGTTCTGTGAAAAGATAACATGATAGCTTGCTAAATAAAGTGACTCAAGAACAGCACATAAATAGGACTATACGTCTATGTCCGCGTGCCCTTTGCTGCTTTTTTTCATCTTCAAATGCTTATCTAATCTAACTATGAACGAGATTTACGTATCTGTTTACGCGCGTACCCATAGCCAATAGTCGGCGATGAATTTCGATAGAGTGCACGTGGTTATATGGGGTTATATGGGGCGAGATAATCGGTAGCAATCCTCGATACGAGTCTGTACGTCCGATAAAGCACGTGTGTACGCGTCTAGGTATATATGTTTGCACAAAGCAACTTTCGAGTAATTATAGCTGCAGCAGAGAGTACTATATATGTGTATTTATACTGCTCCTAATGATGTATGCTCTCTCTCTCACTCGATGCCTGTATATTATACAAACATATATTTATACATATGCGTGTGTTGATTAGTATACATATACATACACACAACGTCATACTATAAATGACAGTTATATATATACGCACAATATGTATCGGTTTATCGAAACGAAAAATTATTATCG